GCTGGGACGGGAAGACGTCGACCCCAATAGACCAGACGAGGGCTGCCGAACACCGCTATTGTATGCTGCCAAGAGGGGGCGTGGTGGAGTAGTGAAACTACTTTTGGGACGGGAAGACGTCAACCCTGATACACAAGATTTTTGTGGCCAAACACCGCTCTTGCTAGCTGCCAAGGGAGGGCATGATGGAGTAGTGAGGTTATTGTTGGGACGAGAAGACGTCAACCCCGATCTGCCGGACACTTCTAACCGAACACCACTCACATTCGCTGCTGCGGGCGGTCATGATGGAGCGGTGGAACTATTGTTGGGGCGGGAAGACGTCAGCCCAGGTATGTCAGACTATTGGGGCTGTTGAATTTTCTAATTCATTTCATATGTATATTCTCCTTGATAATATCGTATATTCCTCTACTTAGTAATATTTTTGATATACGAGCATTACTACAGTGGAGTACATATTACGTATATTTCATTGATATTTTATGATATGATTAGGGGATTATGGTGTGCTTTTCTTATCTGGTGTTTGGGTTTATTTCTTACATTTTATGTATCATCATGCATGGTCATCGGTCATTTGATTTACAATTATGTTTTAACTATCCATTCATACCACCTTAGATTTACACATGTTTTATGGGATTTCCTTGACAGTTCTTTAGGGTCAAACACATTCACACTTATGTTTTTCCTACTTATGTTATGGTCAAACATGTCAACACTTATGTTTTCCCTTACATTTCCTCTTAGTTACGCGAAAGATGCCCACCTGTATAAATAGGGGTTACCACCCATCTCGCTTAAGAGAATTAAGGACAAGACCTACTACTAATCTACCTTCATACCAGACTCCTCCTCACTTGACATGCCCACAGTATATTCTTTCCACTACGTCGTATTTTCGTACAAAGTTATTAAGATAGTGCCGTACCGTACACATTTAAACAGGGGCCAATCACCGCTCTCGTTGGCTGCCACATCCGGGCACGACCGAGTGGTGAGGCTACTACTGAAACGCGAAGACGTCGACCCCAATAAGCCAGACAATTGTGGACGAACACCGTTATGGTGGGCTTCCAAGAGTGGACATGAGAGAGTGGTTAGGCAGCTATCACGCGGGGATAGTACAAACCCCAACGCCCCTGGCGAAGACAGCCAGATGCTCTCGTTGGGATAGCGGAGCGGTAAACCCACTCCAAGCCCGCCAATCTGCAAACCCCAACACTGTTTAACTCAACCATACAAAGCCTTCCCGATTGTCCTCGAGAGCTAGTATGCGCTGCCACTCAGTATCCCCATCGTCACGCGCATATTCTGCCGACTCCCCTGCATGGCGTTCACCTCCGTTCCCGGGGCGCACCGCCACTCCGTGGATATCGCTGACTTCCCTTCTCTTTCCTCCTACATTCAACCTAAATTTCTTCTCGAAAGTCATCCTCGCCTGTTATCGAGGCTGGGAACCTAAATACACATCCCCGTCTCAGAATTTATGGGCATTCGCTAGTGGGGTGAGGATTCATAATTTCATCCTATCACTATTCGGCATATGAGTGAAGGTTTACTATTTCTGTAATTATGATTGGAATGTTCACTTTTTGTTACTGTTTTTATTTTATTTCTCTTACATATCAGTTTTGCATCTGGGCTGAGACTGGCCACGCCCCCCTGCCCATGGGCCCAGATCATTACCCATTCCTCCTTGTTCCGCAGCCACTCTTTACTCCCCGCCGGGCGATACATGTATCATGGCCCCAACTAAGTATCCCCCACCCCATCCGCGATCATTGAAGAAACGACAGTCCAACCGCAACCTCGTGACACCCAGCAAGAACGTGTGGATGGAGCCCGACCTTCTATCGTTGAACATCGTCTAACCGCATTCTAGGTTCGTTTCTAGGCCCCGGTGAACGGGACACGAAGACCCCACTCGTACGAGGTTGGCGTGATAGTGGAAGCTAAACCACTACTCGCCATTTTTATACTCTTAAACACCCCCTTCTATCCATCCAACCATCGATCCACCGCTCCATCCAAGTACAGAAATTACATTCCGATACTCGCCCTCAACGTTTCAAGAACCTCAGTTATCTGTCAGGCGTTTCGCAAATCCCACTGAACTCCCCGAGGTCTCAAATTGGTCGTGCTAGTTGTGTTTAGTTTCCAGCCTGTAATCGTTTGCCTCCATATTTTCTTTGTCGTTCGGTCGCTTCTAGACCCTCTGCCTACTAAAGTTTTTTCCCTTCCGTTCGCATTTTCACTTCGACGGTGAGGGTACACTCGCGTCCGCAAAGTGCTCGTAACGCTGATGTATCGGCCACAAAGCATTCGCAGACTCCCACCGGGAGATTGCAGAAGTTATTTATGGGCAAAAAAAGGGGGGGATCCTTGACGGAGTCCGCCGTTGCTAGGTTGGGAATATCCTTCAAGGAAGGGCTGTCCTGGCCTTGCTATCACGGACCAGAGCTGATGGGGTACCCGACGTGTTACAAGAACTTTGCGGACACGAGTGTACATATGCAGGTACTGTAGAGTCAATCACCAAATGCACGTGCGTTCCCGGATTTTACTTCACGCAGCCCCCCCACGCCGCCACCCCTGCGCTAATCCGGCATCGCATCTACACAAGAGTGGGCTTGGGACCAACATACCAACAGGATGTTGGAAATCGCGAGATACTGCTCGGCATGCTCTCACAATAGCCTGTCTGATCGCATAGTCTTCGGGAGTGCGCTTGGTTTTCGGAAGCGATATGGCTTCGGGCGCACACCTGCGCGGATAGGCTTTCTCGGGAAAGCGCTTCGATCGCGGGACTCTGCGGGGGTCTTTGGGGACATGGGTCCGCCGGAAGGATGGCGGAGGGAGAAGGAAAGCGGAAGGCCACAAGGAGGGCCGGAGGTTCGGTAGCCGTAGTTTGTCTTTTCCTTGTTAGTTTTTTCTGTTTGCTTGTTTGGGGAAGATGTACCTGGATGATAGGGGGTTGAGGACTTCGTCGTTTTTCTGTCGCCGATATATACTCCTATCATTACCGTTAGTTAGTTAGAGAGAGCGCGCGATAGAAAGAGAGGTTGGGGAGCGGAAGAGTCCCCCCCCCCCCCGCTGTGAGTTGTGCGATTGTTTTTCACGTTCATATCGCTGTTTTGTTCGGATGTTCGTTCGTTTCGCTGCCCGTTCGTCGTTCCGCCGTTCATTTTTTCATATCGCAAAAAGTCTCCGTCGATCCGCTGTCTAACAGAGGAAAGCGGCCGACCTGCCCAGTCAGCTACCCTGGAACGGTGTAAGACAAGGTATCGCACGGTCCAGTACTAGGAGAGGTGGGGGGGCGGAGGGCTGAGTAACACCCTTGCCACAGTATGACTTGCGCGCAAATATCGAATCCACCGTGGTTCTGGACTTCAGTCCTTTAGTTGACTGCCCTCTACCGATTAAAACAATCGAAGCGGGGGAGGGGGAGTGTTACAAACTCCCCCACCGCGTCCCTAGCACTAGAGGGGATAGTTAGCCGACGACACTTGTGTCTCAACTGAGCAGGAGATCATCCGTACACAACCGCTCCATGAATACCCGGCTCGCGCGTGCCCTGCCATACCAAATTTCACCCCCTCGTGATATGAAACCAATTCCAAAATTCGATTACTCTTCCTCCACATCCCCACCTGGCACCGAGTGACCAGGTATGACCGCCGACGTATGGCACAGAACCAGGCCCCGATCGACATCCCGCGAGCCATCCAGAAAACTGTGGAAAGAAAACCGCAAGTGATGTGTGGGAACCAGCGACGGATTGGACTGGTTTCGTTTAGTTCGTGGTTCGGCTCGTGCCTAATAAAAGGAGAGCGCGCGCAAGGGTGCAGGAATCGGGGGCGTTTTGCGGCAGCCCGGGAAAGTCTGAGGGGTGTTGGTTTGGGAAGGGTGTGAAAGCAACTCTCATGTTTTGTACGTGATGGCCCCAAGCCCAGGGTCGCAGCCCGCGCACAGGAGGCCACCAGGATTGCCTCCGGAGAGGGACTAAGACTTGAGCATGAATCCCCCTGCTAATCACTGCCCCTCTCTTTCCCCTTCTAGGGCATGCATAGAGAATGGCAGAATTCCGCACTTCCTCTCCACCTCTTCCTCATATATGCTCTCGTACAAAATTCCCTCAGCCATTGCCGTTTCCCACACGTGGTTTCCTTTCTTCCCGATACCGTTGTTCCCGGATTCTTCCTAGCGGCCCTCCATCCCAGCATCTCATCACACCTTTTAGCCTCGTGCCCTTTCAGCCCCTCTTCCTCCACACACGCCCATTGCCTTCATTTCCTTCATCCCCCCATCCCCCCACCCTGATCCCGCTCAATCCCATCTTTCTCCTACATATCCTTGTCTTGCTCCCCATCCCCCTCTCTCCACTTCGCCCTCTTCTCATCCCTCTACCAACACCGCCCCCCCGCCCTACCTTCGCTATAACACTATCAGTGCTCATAACCACAACCTCTTTCAAAAGTATTCCCCAAAATCTCTGCGGCAATATCCCCGACAAGTCATCCTCCCCCAACAAACCCGTCCCCATATTCTCACGTCAGTTCTCCTCGCCACCCACTCTCCCCATCAATACACCCTCAGAACTCTCGACCGCCCTCGCGCTGCTCTCCAGCCCTGCCTCGGCATTTCCAACCACCTCCCAGCCTTCCCCATAACCCAAAACCCCTTTCCCATGTCCGTAGAAAATCAATATATGCCCTCCTCGGCCCCAACGAACTTCTCTTCATTTTACTCATACCCGTACCGCGCGCATCTTGACTCTCACCCACATCCACAATCCCCCCCACATCCCCTAATTCTGCCAAACGTCAGGTCCTCCACGAATGGGCAGGAAGGACAAACCCTGAACCATCAGCCAGACCATGAAATAAATATGAAGACTATGGTGGTGGGGGGAGCATTCGGGTGATCAGGCTGGGTATTGTTCGTCAGGAGGGGGGCACGCGAGTAGTGAAGGATCGCTCATTGGCATAAGATTGTCCGGCCGCAGGGTTGTGAGGGCGCTCGGGGTGGCCGCGCTGATGCGGTTGAGCCGGAGTTTGGGTGGCAGGACGAAGCTAATAGGGCACCTACTCTGTTCATAGCTATGGGACAGTGATAGCTGGGGGGCGAGGGATGCGTGAGATGGATGAAGTGAAATGAAAAGGGGTACGGTAGACTAAGAGAGAATCGGGTTGGATGAGGCTTGGTGCGCGCATTGTTCATACCTAGCGCAGCATGTGAGTGTGGGGTGTCGAAAACGGTGAAGCCTACGCGTCAGGTCAGGGTTTCACTGGAATCGGAAGAAAAAAAACACAGTGACTACACAGCAAAAAGCAAGTTAGAGTGGAGGGAAGAAGAGGGAATAGTACGGTAGTAAATTGTAAGCTGGCTGGCGGGAATGGGCGTGATGGACCGGAGAAGCTAACGCGATATCCGAAAGGCCGCAAGCCCGGTATGGGGGCCGACTGCCGCAAAGCCGAGATGGAGCGGCAGAGAGAGAAGATCCGGAGAGCAAAGAATCCAAGAAAGGTGAGGGAGGCGAGAGGGAGGGGAGGAGGAACAAGTTGAGGAAAATGCCCGCCCCGGACGACGATGGACGAAGAGAATTACTGGGATCCATCGCACGCAGGCCAACACACACGCGCCACAGAAAAGGCGCTGACTCTGACAAATAACTTGGCATGGAAACTACCGGAGGGTGGGTACTTTTGTCATACCGTTCCTGGCAAAAGCATGTCAGCCACAGGGCCTCACGGTTGCGCTCGGCAGCAAAATATTCACATGCCCCTGCTTGCCCCTTCACCCCTTACCGTGGACAATGCAAAGGAATCCAAAAAAATCGAGAATCATGTGAAGCCCTCCGATGTCTCCCCAAAGTTTCCCCACAACTCGTAAGGAGGGGTTTAGCAGAGCGAAAGGTTGAAGTTTTTGCTCAAGTTTTCGACTTTCTTGGCACTCCCGGCGCAAGAAAACACGCGGGTCCGGAAAGGAGTCACGGGGCAGCACATGAGGGGCTACCCAGTCAAATATGTTCCTGTCTGTTCCGATCAATCGGCTTCTACCCTTCGATTCAAAAGGCTCACTCGGTTGACGGTTGAGATAGCTTCGGGGGGGCTGCCCAGGAGGAGTCTGATTCGCTTGATCAGGCCACGGATTCTGCTGGCCGAGCAGTGGATCATGACAATAATGTTCAGGAGTTGATAAATTATTCCTTGCCAGGACAATAGGGAGGCTCTGCACTCGCAGGGAGCTACGAACGTGAACTTATGGACTACGGTACCAGTAGTTCATGAATTAGTCTAAGCTTGAGAATGTACGAGTACTCTAGACAATGTTAACAAGCCGGCCGATCCGCCCAGGCTGGGCCAAGCCCGGAAATACGGGGTGGGAAGAGTAATGGTAAAAGTAACCGCTTATCGTGAGTTACCGTTGGGCTCTGCGGTGCCGATAAAGGGAAATGATTTCGCGGAGAGACAATTATCACTATTGGCAAAGGCGGAGTGTAGATATGAGGCACCTGTACTGTACTCAAGTACCGTAGTGCACCGGCAAGTGCGAAACCCATAATTATTGAACCGGTTTGGGGGATGGAAAAAAGTATTCGGAACCGGCCTAATTTACGGAGTAGAGATCTATGATGCTTGGCAACCGCAAAGCATCGGTCACACAATGTTCAGCCGGGTTGATGGAATCACGGGTTCACCTACATTTTCAAGGCGCCGATATCGTGACGACCCCGCTTTCCATCAGCCCGCTCAATTTCCATCCACCGATCTCGATAACCCAGCAACTCATCATCCTACAGCATCACAACCAGCCAGAAAATGTCACACGCTAATACCCACGATGTTACCTGCTCTCCCAACTACCCCCACTTCTCACATCAGAACGTGAACAACTTTGGCAGGACGGACCAAAGGTCAGAGATTCTGGCATGGTTATCCCCAACCGAGCCCCGCATCCGACACCAAGACATCCGAGCCAGGCGGGCCGAGAAGGTGGGGGAATGGCTGCTAAAAACGGACGCATTCCAAATGTGGTGCGATGATGATGAGCAGCCGGGACTTGAACATTCGACTTTATTTTGCTGTGGTGATCCTGCAGTTGGCAAGACCTATTTCAGGTGAAGGACTATCCACGGTGGAAACTAAAAAACGGTGGTTCTGATGAGCAGCGATAATAGTTCACTGGTTGTCGACAGGTTATGCAATAGGGGAAAAGGGCAGAATATTGCTGTTGCGTGTTTCTACGTTGACTTTGCAGCGCGGGAGGAGCAGTCTCCCTCCACCATGCTCGGTTCACTCCTGAAGCAAATTGTCGGTGGATTAGAGACGATCCCGGAAGAGATAAATCGGACGTTCCGAGATTACAAAAAGGTCGCTGGTGTAAGGGGACCGCGATTGTTGGAAGTAGTGAAGATGCTGCAGACTGTCTTATCTTTACGGCGAGCGTTTTTATGTATTGACGCCCTAGATGAATGTGCGGAGGGACATCGACCTGAGATCTTGGATTCGTTGAGACAAATCCTCGTAAAATCCTCAAACACGCGACTCTTCTTAACCGGAAGACCACACATCATAGGCGAGATTTGTTGAAAATCACCGGTGCTCACATGGACTACTGCAAGTTCCTCGGTCAGAAATCTTTCCTGTTATACTCCTAGTGTATTTTCGTCATATTTTTCTTGTGTTTCATGTTGTTTGAGACTAGTGATAGTGGAAGGTTGTGTGCCGGCAACACTCGGAGGTTCTCGGTCTGTTCACGGCTCCTAGAATCTGCAGGCAGAGGGAGGAACCTTGGAAAACTCGGATCTCGGTAATGGAACGTGTTCCGAGGATGTATCTTGTGGGGCATGTCGGATATCGGGAATGTTCATAAACAGTTCTTTATTTGCATGTGGAGAGTGGCTTTGTGTTTTCTATTTAAACTGCAATGGTGCCGGAAGATTCAAAGGTTAAGCTGGGCTTCAATGACAATACAAAATACTCTTCTATTCCTTCCTCTTTATTGTCCTACTTCCGTTTCATTCAGCCGTTCATAATAATAAGATTGAGAGGCATCTTAGCGGGAGAGTGGCAACTT